GAATATCTTCTTTGGTGAAGTGCCTGTTCATATCCTTTGCCCATTTTTTAATTGGGTTATTTGTCTTTTTGTTGTTGAGGTTTTGCAGTATCTTGTAAATTTTAGAGATTAGATGCTGATCGGATTTGTCATGGCCAAAAATTTTTTCCCAGTCCATAGGTTGTCTTTTGACTCTTTTGGTGAAGTCTTTTGATGAGCATAAGTGTTTGATTTTTAGGAGCTCCCAGTTATCTAGTCTCTCTTCTGGTGCTTGTACATTATTACTTATGGTTCGTATTGTGTTTATGCCATGTATTAGGGCTCCTGGTGTTGTCCCTATTTTTTCTTCCATGAGGGACAGTGGTTCTTAAAGTGGGTCCTCCCACCAATAGACCAGCATCGCCTGGGAGCAAGTTAAACATGCAAATTCTTGGGCCTCACTGGCTACCTACTGAGCCAGAAACTCTCACGGTGGGGCCCAGAAATCTGTGTTTTACCGGGTGTTTCTGGCACACTCAAGTATGGGAACTGCTGCTTTAGGAGACACAAAAGAAGAAATACATCGGCAGGCAATTTAGTCTATTTTAACCATCATCTTCATCCTACCTGTTCTATTCCCAAAGAACTTCCCAACCCAATCTGAAGTCAAATGGAAAGAAAATAGAAGTTAGTAAGTTCCTCGATGGCGGGAGTCTCGTTAACATGCATATTAAACATCTAACAAATGTAAAATTTTCTAACTAATGTAAAACATCCAACTAATGTAAAATTTCACAGTGCCTGCCATAGGGGAGGGTCTCAATAAATGTCAATTACTTTCTTCTAAGTAGGGAAATAGGATAAATCATGAGAAAATATGTAGGAACAATTGCCGTAAGAAACAAAATCAAATATATATTTAAATGATACAGTTAGTTTCTATTGTAAGACACTAGTAAGAATTGAATAGAATATATGACATTTCTTTTGCCAAAACACAGGGTGTAGGTGTGTTCTTGAAGAGACCTGCTTATCTTCCTGGAGACCAGCTGGTCTTGCTGTTTGCGTCTTTATCAATAGATTTTTTTTAACGGAGCTGACCTGGAAAGAGGAGTTTCAGAGAAATGACTGTTAGCCAAGATGTCAAGCGTGTGATGGAAATGTTGGTCATCACCTTGGGAATTCAATTATACTGAAAACTTAAAAGAAGTTAACTTTTTCAGTTAACTCTGTGTTTGACAAATGAGTAACTTGAAAACTAATAAATTGTATCCATATACACAGTTTACTATTAATAATCTAGTAATTAACCTTAGCCACACTTACCTAACCTTAGAGATTTAACAAAAGGCAAAGGAACTCCTATTCTATAAATCTCAATTCCATCACAAACTATGAAGCAGGGTAAACCAAAAAAACACCCAAGCCTGTTGCCATTCAGTCAAGTCTGACTCATGGCGACCCCGTGTATTACAGAGTAGAACTGCTCCATAGGGTTTTTTGGCTGTAATCTTTACAGAAGCAGATTTCCAGGCCTTTCTTCCATGGTGCCAGTGGGTGGATTCAAACTGCCAACCTTTAGGTTAGTAGCCTAGCGCAGTTCATTTGCACCATTCAGGGACCTCTGAAGCAAGATGGGTGATAGATAATCTCAGGTGAGCCCTCTCCTTTAATGCCTCAGTTTCCTTATCTGTAAAGAGGCAATGATAATGCAAACTATGTAACATTCGTTCATTCATCGAACAAATAGTCATCAAGCCCTTATTCTGAATCAGGCATTATTGTTCACAACAGTGAAGAAGACCAAGTTCTCATTATTATGATGGGGTCTCAAGAACCCCTCTGAGAAAAATAACTGAAATGGCACTTGGAAAGAAAGAACTCCACAGCCCAGGCCACCAGAGACAATGTAATCCTTAGGTAAGGCACTTGTTGTGTCTCCTTCGTTTCTAAGAATAGCATTCCAGGAACTAACAGCACCTGAAAACTTGAGTTTGTTTTATACAGACGACATGGAGTACACTCAAGATCTTGAGGAGCTGACCTTCTGCGGAAGATAGATTGTCCATCACCAGCAGATCTAGTAAAAAATAACTGTATTCTCTGTGTTCTCAAACCCTTTTCATCTCTCACCATATGCTTATGTTATGCTTAACATAAAGAAGCAAATGCCTTAATCAGTGTTTTAAGAATAAAGGAATGCTCTTTGGACCACTCTAAGTTTTTACGTCATTTCAGTGAGTCAGAGACCAGGCATTAGTCTCTTCATTTTGTGAACCAGTCTACTGGCTAAACCAAATTCACACAGAGAGGCAAAGTCAGGCTCCTCCATCTGAATTCTTGCTGAAGAAGATGCTTAGCACTAGATCCATCCCACTGTTTACTTTATTACGTATTTAAAGTTTGGTTATTTTTATTTTCCCCCTTGGAGCATAGTTATCAAATTTTTCTAATTTTAGTCAAGTCATCTGGCTAAATCCATTTAATTCCCCTGAGTTTCTTCTTATAATCTCAAATTTTTCTTTTAATTACCCCTTATCATCCAGATCATGGACTTTACATACTTTGGCCAATGTCCCTGAATTATCTCATATTTATATTATTTTGCAAACTTCCCTGGCAATAAATTATATTTGATTCAAAACACTCAATAAGGTTTGTGTTTTTTTGAAAGCAACATTTATTTTTGCAACTGCTTTGAAAACAGCATGGGACCAAGCTTCTAATAACATAGAACCCTTCATATGTAAATTTCAAAGCAAGTTTGAAGATGTCAATTAAATTTCAAGAATATATCTTTAAAAATCGCCCTCGTTATTAACTAAGAGAGAATAACTCCAACAAAAAACTGTTCTCAACCTTGCGACTTTGTAAATAGTATTCAACATACTTTGCGACCCACCTATTATCTGGATTGGGATTTTCCCAGTGGCTACCATATATTATTCTGATAATAACATTACTGATATTATATCATCTTTTATTCTAGAACCTGCCACACTCATGACATTCCAAAAATGTTTTCTTACAACTTCTGGGTAGGAAGATGATAAGGCCATCATCTCACATTTAAAACAGAACTTTGCAAATTATTTTCCATTTTTGTGTTCAGAATTATCCAAGTGCTGCTTAAGAGGCAAAGACTGTAAGTTGTTGTTTTGTAAAGAGTGGACACTTCTCACCTGTGCTGTCTATTGTCAGACTTGTGTTAAAATCAGACAGGTCAAGCAGATGGGGAGCTATATGATTTCGTGTTCCAGGATACACCTTGTTGTTGTTGGGTGCCATCAAGTCCATTCTGACTCATAGTGACCCCGTGTCACTATAATACACTTGGGGCACTGCAAACGCCCCTCTACTGTTTGGACAGCACTTCTCTGCTTGATTGACTGCAAATGATTTGTTTGCAAACACGAAGCTGATGAGAGTTTTGGTGATTTCTGAAATTCCAAAATAAACCTTGTCACTGGAGAAAAGAAAGGCCACGTAGCCTGCCTGGGGGAAAACCTCCTTCCTGACCTGAGCGTGAGCTGCTGCCAGAAGACATTTGTATGGCAGCAGCCTCTCCAGGTGGCCCGGCTTCGGAGTGGCCTCCTCCGTCCTGTTGTTCCCGCTCCTAAAGAGAGCCGTTTATGAACTACCTCATGCTCCATTTACTGCCCCCATCTCTTTAGGAAGGGTGGAAATTAGTTTTCTTTTATCATTATATGCCAGACTTTAATTCAGGTGTTCCCATGGCGTTCCTCCGCGCCTAGGGGCTACTCCGTGCTCCACCTCCTTCACTGGTATCCTGGCAAGACCCTAACCCAGCTTCTGGTACTGGTTAAAGAAACCTAACGAAGACCGCACATCAAGGAAAGGAATTAGCAAGGATATCATGACAGGAGTAGGACAACAGGTGGCCCGGTCCTGAAATGTCGGGGCTTCTTCAGGCACATTTGAGAAGGAAAAGTTTCCTTTGTCCACCAAGTGACCACGTGGCGCTATGGTGATGACCATAAGAATAAACCCGTAACAACCCTCTCAAAGCGCAGGGCTGGGCTCGGGGACGCGTCAGCCACCTCCAGAGCGAGCCGTGAGAGGACCCGAAAAGGGGGTAGGTACACTGCAGACACCAGGAGCGGGGAGGCCAGAGAGGTTCGCAAAGGGGAGGGCGGGAGAGCGGGAAGCGGGCGCCGGGGCGAGGTTGCAGTGGTTGGGGAGGCTGAGAGCCGGGAGCCCGGCGTTGCGGGCGGGCGAGGAGGAGCTACCGCAGGGGGAGGTGGGGAGGAAAGGGAGGCAGGAGAGGGGTGGGGAAGAGGGGGAAGAGGGGGAGGA